TTTAATGTATCCACTACGGATGTTGACCTCATCAGACGAAGCATATACAGGGCAAGAAGAAGTATATTGCCACCTTTGCCAAAGTGTATCAGTGATGTTCATAGTGTACTGAAAGCAATACAATGTGTTACAAATAAGGGTGAACAATTTTTATTATTTAACAATGAAGATTCACAAATTATTTTATTTTCATGTGATTCAAATTTAAAATACTTGTGTTCTCGTGATAGTATTTATTGCGACGGCACATTTAATTATTGCCCTAAATTTTTTTTACAATTTTTCACTATACATGCTGTTGATAACGGACACTACATACCATTGGCATTTTTTGTTATACCAGATAAAAGAGCAAGTACCTATGCAACTGCATTTAAATTATTAAAAGATTACTGTTATAATAATTTAAATTTAGATTGGAAGCTGTGTAAAGTTATTTGCGATTTTGAGAAAGCCATACACACTGGTATTATACAGATTTGGCCTGATATCTTAATTATTGGATGTAGATTTCATTTAACCCAATCGTGGTTACGTAAGATACAAAATCTGGGTTTGATTACCGAATATAAAAATGAAAATTCTGAAATCGGCAAATGGCTTCATTACACTTTCGGCATTTTATTTTTGGAAAGTACTGAAGTGGCAGAGTGTTTTTGTAAAGATTTAATTCCAATCATGCCATTTGACGAGAGATTAACTTCATATACTCTTTATATGATTAATACGTATACTAGCGATACGTCTGACTTCCCGCCTACAATGTGGGCATCGTGCACAAGTTCCACAGAACGCACAACAAATGCTTGTGAGTCTTTCCACAAACATTTTAATTCTGCTTTTTATTCGGCGCATCCCGATATATTCAAATTTGTTAATGTAATTCTCGATATTCAGTTAAATACTTATGTGAAATTAAACAGTACACATATACCTAACAAAATTAAAAACGCTAATTACAAAAAACGGCATGCGTATTTAACGAACGTAATAGAACAATATAAAAATAAGATCCTTTCACGAACTCAATTTATCAAAGTAGTTTCTTATCATTACAAAAACTAATTGCAATTTGGGTTTCTTAAATAATTTGGTATTTTGTGTATTTTGTACCTACTTTTTTTTATTATGTATAATTTTATATTGTTTTCTATTAATTATAAGTGTTTTTTTAATTTGGTTTTATTCTTTTCCTGACCCACATTCTGTACCATATCATATCAGTTAAAAATTTCTATTCACGTGGAAAATAATAAAAATCAGTTAAACTATTTTTTTCTTAAAAATATTATTTTCAATAAATCGAAATAGATACCTTTAATGATTGATAACTACGGCGACCAAGAGGCCTACCTGATTTTAAAACTGGAGACCAAGTGGTCGATGAGATTACGGAACCCCGCTGACAAAACTAACCGCGGCGACCAAGTGGCCAACACCCATTTTTTTAATCGTAATCATTTTCTTCAAATATTTAATTGTTTTATAAAATGCAATGTACGCTCCGACATGTATGAATAGTTTTAAAACCTTTAAGAAAAATGTGTATTTGGAACTTGTGTTGAGAAAAATAATAAAAAGTTAAGTAGACACAAATGAGCAAGGATTAAATTATTAATAATACCTACATGACCCGTGCACAGAAAGAAGGTAAACTAAATATATCTGAGGTTCAAATAATAATAAGTAATAAACCTAATGATGTTAAAAATAGTTAATATAGAGAATATTGCTAAACCACGAAATCAAAGAAAGACTTAAACATAAAATTAGTTTAAGAGCAACACATTAAGAGGATCTGTAAAAAAGGAAGACCGAAAGGAACAACCAAGTAGCACAGCTTATACAATACAGCTCCACAACTCCGTGTCGGCGTCTTTGATCTGGCGGTCGAGAACCAAGCAAGACGGAATGGTGCTATCTCTGTTAGATTCGAGGGAAAAGTCGGGCCCGGATTAAACAATTTTTTTATTATTGAAAAAATTGAAAACCTTGGCGTAATGAGTTTGGTTACATGCCATATTAAGTAAGTTATGGAAAATTAAATTTTTAATTTGTTTTAAATCTGTTAAATATAATTAAAAAAATTATTTAAATTTAAATATTGCGAAAAATAGCACATCTTTCGGATTAGAGGTAAAATAATTTGTATGTGGCTAGTAAAATCCTCGTTAACGAATGTTTTGAGCTAAAACAGTCACTTCACGACAAATTGTGGCTTGGATCCTTTTTACACCAAGGGCTTCAATTGTTAAAGAATTGTGTCACGCTCGTGGATGCAAATCAAGTGGTACCCCGTGTCTCTGGCAAGTGTTACTATTCGCGCAAAGGGTTTATACCTAGATAAACGAATGCTTTGACTGAGGTCTGGGAACTCTATGGTATTTTGGAATTATAAAGAATTTGTGCTTTTATTTTAACAATATTGGTTATATTTAGATGTATTCTTATTAATTGAAATACAGATTTGTAAAAGTAATACATTGACAATATTTATTAATATAATATATTCAATTTTTATCTGACCATACCGAAGTAGGGAATTTTGAAATTTTATAGTAATGTGAAATTTGAATTACAATATTACACGATATTACATAATTAGTACTTATTTTAGGTAGGTACTAAATTTGTACTTGGAGAAAGTAATATCGATTTTTACAAGAAAACTTGAAAAGTAAATTAATTTAGTTCCTATTTCTGATGTAAAACTTAAACCAAGAAAACAAATAAATTGTAGTTTGTTCAACAAGGGTGGATATGATAGCCATATTACACAAAGACGAAGTTTGAGCACGACGTCGTAGGCGGAGTACTCAATCGTCTGATTGTAATATGAACAATCCACTCGATATGGTCAGTATATTTTTTCTACGACCCACTAACGAAAATCTACAAATTTAAAAAATTATTTTAGGTTATTTAGACAAAATAACTAATTTTAAAATAATTTACGAAGTTGACTAATTTATAAAATAAAATAAACATGAAAAATTAATTAGCCCTCGGCCTAGATTCGATCCCGGGCTTTTCGCGTGGAAGGCAGATGCTCTGTCCTCATCTTCACCGAAACTTTCAGGACTTTAGTTTTAATACTCGTAATTAAATTAGTATCATGTAGTTTGATTAAAATTTATTTTTTTTAAATGTGGACACAATAAAAACAAAAATGCTATTATTTATCGAGTCTACACAAAAATTTTAATGTATATTTAATACCAATAACTAAAATATATATTGACAATTAGTTTAACAGAATTGTCACTTATTTAAAAATTTTTAAATAATAGGAGTTGGGTGACCAAAATATGAACTGTGATTTGTAGATTTAATTTTGTTAAAGTGTTCTCACTACCTAAAATGGATATGAAATATATTCGTAGTTGAACGCAATAACATACTTTTTCGTTTTGTAGTATGTGCGTAGATTGGCTAATATCCATGCACAGATTACAAAACGAAAAAGTATGCTATTGCCTTCAATTGAACGAATATATTTCATAGCCATTCTAGGTAGTGAGAACACTGCAAAAAAAATAAATTCGCCAATCACCGTTCATATTTTAATCAACCGACTGCTATTATTTTTAAAATTTTAAATAAATGACAATTCTGTCAAACTAATTGTCAGTATATTTTTTAGTTATTGAGATTAAACATACAATAAAATAAGTTATTCTTTTGGAAAACGTTAGCATGGATGACTAAAGGGTATTGGGTTAATTAATTCTAAAAGTGTGGTACAAATGTTATTTTTTGTAGCCAATTCTTCAAAATTATTTTGAAATATCTTTTCAATATTGAATGTTAGTTCTACAAATTCAACATTTGACAGTTGCAGATTTCCAAATGTATCTGAATTGGCGTTATCATATGCCTTTAAAAAGCAATAAAAAGAAAAATCATCTAATTCAACGTGATCTTTGTTATATTTAAGACAGGTATCGCAGGAGTGGATCCGCAAGGCTTTTGTTAAAAGGTAACCACACACATACCTGATAAAATTTTTCTGTAGCAATTCGTCTTTACAATAATTTAGGGTGTTAATAATTTCATCATAAAATAAAATACAAGGTGTTCCATTTAAAAAACATACATTTTAATTTGCCAGGCAAAAACGTGACACCCTGTATATCCAAAGATATTTTTAAAATATGTAGGTATTTTTCAAATTCATATAACTTTTATTTAAAACTTTCTTGCGTGTCTACAACAAAATAATGAACAATAACGCACTAATGGGACACCCTGTATAAATTATATTTTTAACAATGAAAATTTTTTATAATGTGGTACTTATCGGTTTGGGTCCTTGGGAAAACTAAAGAATGTTTTTTTGCAGGTATAACCCTAATTAAAACAGATTTTGACTGCACAAACAGAATGATGTCTTTTTTTTTAATTATTCTACTCACAGCTAAAGAGTCACCAAAATAATAACAGTACCTTTAACTCAAACAAAATCAACGAAATTATAGGCTCCACGAAATTATACAATCAACGAAATTATACGCACGACTCAACAACTTACCTAAGTACGATTCTGAACGCCAAAACCGTCTTTTCCCTTCGAAGGCGGAGCTTAAGCGATGCGCGACGAAATCGACGCAAACCGTTGCCGCCAAGAGAGTGTTTTAGCTGTATTGTATAAGCTGTGCAAGTAGTATAAATAAAATAAGATTACTAGTGATACACAGTTGAATTTAGAGATGACTAATATATAAATAATGGGGTGATTCTTCCGAAAATGCCTATTTTTAACGTGGTATTTTAAAATTCTGTAAATAATTTTATTTAATTGATTTTAATATAAAATCATGATAAATTTGTTTTAAAATATTGAACATTAGTTTTTCTTATTTGGTGAACCTTCATAGTCCCTTTAAAAGTTTGCATTGAAACGTTATTTAACCGCTGCAAAATTGTATTAATATCACTGTTTTTAATATGGAAGTAGGTAATACCTTTAACGTTATGAAAATGTCCAGTCATTAGTGTTTTTAATTTAAATCAACAATATCAGTTACTTGTGCTAACAACCTGTCTAGTGTTCTTTTTGTAAATCCACAGACGCCATCGGGTGCCCCTTTACCGTGTCGAGCTTCCAAGTACTTCCAAGTAAAGTTCTTGATCTTTGGATGTAATTTTGGAAGTACACTAGATAGAAAATAAAACACTGTTTTATTGCGGAATTGCGTTACCGGTTTATCGCTGATAAAATGAAGAACATCCACAGAATAGACATTATTGAGATATTTTATAGGGTTTAGATGTGTACAAATGACACAAACATTGTGAAGAAGAGATACTGATAATGTACAAAAACACTCTTTCTTTACATTATTATGTTGTTTAGTATACACAACTAGGGTATGTAGAGATATTTGCTTCCGTAAACCTCCAAAATGGAATGCTTGAACCTCCTCAGCATACTTTATATTGTAGTTTCCACTAAAGTCCATGTGAATAGCTGCTTTGTTGGATTTAAAAGTATCTTCAAGTATTTTGTACTGGTGAAGTGGCCTGCCTTTATGTTTAAGAAATGGTTTAATGTTCTTTTCAAATTCAGAAACCATATCAGAAACTGAACAAACAATTTTTTCTTTGGACGTTTTGAAGACCGATTTTTCTTTCGTGATTTTTTGTCTATATACGTACTTTTTTTAGAGACTCACTTTACATAAAAGCTTTGATGGAAAGGGTTATATTCATTGTATGATATTTTTCACATTTTTCAATACTAAAAAAAGATGAGATAACTGAATTTAAATCTCTTGTCATAATTATGTTAAGTCGAAATAAAGACTGAACAAGAAGAGACATGTTAAAGCAGACAACACGCCACAAGTACCCATTGCGGAAACTTTTCTGGAAACAATATAAAAACGACGAATTTTGCAAAAAAATGCATAACTGACTGATTATTCTGGATGACACGCCAAAAATTATTTATGTAGATGTCGCATTGTATCATTTAGATAACTGTTTTGTTTAATTTTATTAGTCCTTTTCTGGAACAATAGTCTTTTTCCTGGGCATATTCTGCTATTGAGGTCAGATTCAAGAAATCTCCAAATTGCGTTTTTTTTCTAAAATATGTTCTTTTCCAGACCTATTTCCTGGCTTTTTCAGTCGTCTTCCAACAATACTTCTTATATTACTCGTCATTTTATACTTCTTTATTACTCTTCCAGAAATTATTTTCTTAAAATTTTAGCTTTTCGTTATGAGATGTCAACTCTATGTAGTTAACTAATCCTTGATAGCTTCTGCAAATAGAACTTTTTTTTCAACATCAGAGTCACGATCAGAGTACGCAGTGTTTTGGATTTAATAATTTGCCCAAGTCCCTGGAGAAATGTTATCTTCTAATGATTGAGTACGTTTCTTATCCTTTTCTTTTTTTGCTTTTTAAGTCTGTGATATCTCACTTTATATTTATTTTGCTTTTTCTAAAATTTTCAATTAGTTTATTTTTCTTCAATGATTCTCGATTGCTTGCTTTTCTATTTTCTCGATGCTTTCTGTTTACCTGAAATGCTTTAAGGTGTTTGTGAGGGTGCTTCTCTTACATTGTCTCTATATTCATCAGAGTCCGGCGGTGTATTTTCTCTTATGAAGTGGGTAGCTTTTTCAACTTGCTTTTGTTTCGCTCGATACCTAGTAGATTCAATTCGCCATCGTTTTCTTATCGTTCTGTGATCCCGCTTGCTTAATTCATTGATAGGTTTTACAGTTATATTTGCTTTTTTCTTCAAATACTGAATTCTCTCTCTCTCTCTCTCTCTCTCTCTGTTTTAACTTTTGCCTTCCTTCTAGATTATTCCTCAGTCTATCGTACCTTTTTTTTCTTCTATTTTCTCTCTAGACAGTAGCATCTTGTTCTGAAACAATAAGTCAATGACTACGTGTATATCGGATTCAAAGATTGTCTTTAATTCAATGCAATAACATAACTTTTCATCTGTTGGTTATCGAAACGGTGGATGATTTGTTTTATTGTGAAAAACTATATTGTTGTGCTTTATTTTCCCCTGTATCTAATATTTTTAAACACTAAAATGGTGGAATATACATTTTATATCCTTCCTCTGGGTCATTGGGCATTCCTCTGGGTCATTGGGCATTCCTCTGGGTCATTTATCATTATCCTCTGGGTAATGAAAATACAGAGAAATTATATTTTTTTCACCTTTTTCACTATGAAAGTAAAAATGTTATTTATTTCTAAACTTCGAAGTTAGTAAAATGAAAAAAACATTTAATTTGTCAACTCCATCATATTTTAGATTTAAACAATAATGTTAATATGCAAAATTTTCTTGCCAGAGGAATGGCTGCACAGTTTGTGACACAACACTGTTCACCTGCGTGAAGTTGGCCCTACCATGTTATGATAATTACACCAAAGTTGTACCAATATTTTGCAACTAATTTGAAACTTTAGGCAACCGGTATAAAAAAAATTTGCAACCTTACATTTTTGTTCTAATTGGTGAGGCCTAATTCACGCAGCCCCATCGTCGTATTGACCTCGAACCTTTTTCATAATTTAGCAACTAATTTGCAACCTTCGTGAAAAAATTTGCAACCTCGTGGTTTTACCAAAAACGAATCCCTAAGTTGATGGCGACAAATTCACGCAACCCCACCACATCGTCATATTGACCTCGAACCTTTTTCATAATTTAGCAACTAATTTGCAACTTTAGGCAACCTTCGTGAAAAAATTTGCAACCTCGTGGTTACGCCAGAAACGAATTCCTAAGTTGGTGGGGCCAAATTCACGCAGCCCCACCACATCGTCGTATTGACCTCGAATTTTTTTCATAATTTAGCAACTAATTTGCAACTTTAGGCAACCTTCGTGAAAAAATTTGCAACCTCGGTTACACCGAAAAGGAATCCCTAAGTTGATGGCGACAAATTCAGGCAACCACACCACATCGTCATATTGACCTCGAACCTTTTTCATAATTTAGCAACTAATTTGCAACTTTAGGCAACCTTCGTGTGAATACGTGATACAAACATATTCAAAAATGCGATTTATACAGAATGTTCACGCATACAGAACTTTAAATTGGGAAATTGAGGTACTCTGAGTCGCATAACGATACAACTCAAACCATTTATGGTAAAAATATTATTGAGGAAGTAAACATTTATTAGATGAAAACATGCAAAATCCAGCAAACATGTAAATTATATTTAAAATTCATTTTGTATACAAGTCTATTACAATTTTTGAAAATGTTTGCAATACAGTAGCTTGTGTTAATGACCCAGAAACTTGAACAAAGAAAGGATATAATGAATTTGGAAATGATTATTATTATCACAGAAACTAGGTAATATTAATAAAAATAATATTTTAATCGTTATAAATTATAATTTAATACTTTGAAAATTTGTATTATGGAATTCAATTTGTTAGTCCCAACGTATTGTTTAACTAAAATTAATTTAAATTTTACAGAAATGCTCTCCTTAAAATGTTTTGTTTAATTATGATTGGCGTGTCAGATGCAAAAATGTTGGCCCCAAAAAATTCGAGGTCTATACGACGATGTGGTGGGGCCGCGTGAATTTGGCCCCCCTTCCAACCACGAGATTTCAAATGTTTTTACGAAGGTTGCCTAAAGTTGCAAATTAGTTGTTAAATTATGAAAAAGGTTCGAGGTCAATACGACGATGTGGTGGGGTTGCGTGAATTTGGCCCAATCAACTTAGGGAGTCGTTTCCGGCGTAATCACGAGGTTGCAAATTTTTTCACGAAGGTTGGCTAAAGTTGCATATTAGTTGCTAAATTATAAAAACAGTTCGAGGGCAATACGACGATGTGGCGGGGCCGCGTGAATTAAGCCCCAACAACTTAGGAATTCGCTTCCGGCGTAACCACGAGGTTGCAAATTTTTTCACGAAGGTTGCCTAAAGTGGCAAATTAATTGCTAAGTTATGAAAAAGGTTAGAGGTCAATATGACGATGTGGTGGGGTTGCGTGCATTTGTCACCATCAACTTAGGGATTCGTTTTCGGTGTAACCACGAGGTTGCAAATTTTTTCACGAAAGTTGCCTAAAGTTGCAAATTAGTTGCTAAATTATGAAAAAGGTTCGAGGTCAATACGACGATGTGGTGAAGCTGCGTGAATTTGGCCCCACTAATTTTATTTTAGCGATTAGAACAAAAATGTTAGGTTGCAAATTTTTTTATACCGGTTGCCTAAAGTTGCAAATTAGTTGCAAAATATTGGTACAACTTTTGTGTAATTATAATAACATGGTAGGGCCAACTTCACGCAGGTACACTGTTCTCGAAATAATTTTAAAAACATTAACTGCGGCTCCACCAAAAAACAACAAATGACTGATCGTCTCAAATTAAAAACATTTATAGACACCCAGAGGAATGATGGTCAAGGTCAAAGATAAAACTAAATTTATTTAGAGTACAAAAATAATAAATTAAGGCACATCTATCACCAAAAATGTATGCTATTTGTCTTTCAACATTAACTACTATGGTGGTTACATGCCAGATGAATGACTATTGCTGAGAGATATTTTTTTATCACATAAAATATTTATTTTAACCTTGCATTTATAAGACCAATAAAGATATTGTAAAGTAAATTAATTATGAAGAAAATATAAACAAAAGTTACAACTTAATGAAAAGAAGGATCAAGTACGATGAAAAGCTTGACCCAAATAATTATAGACCGATAAGCCTTGTACCAATAGTTTGTAAAGTAATGGAGTCCATAATATGTGATAAGGTTACTGACTTTCTTGAAAACGAACGGGTACTTCCCACCCAACAACATGGATTTATCAGAGGACGATCTACCTTAACTAATCTCCTGCAGTCTGTCAGTGACTGGACAAAGGCCTTAGATGCTGGTCTTCCTACAGATGTTGTATACTTGGATTTTCCTAAAGCCTTTGATAGAGTTTCAAAGCACCGACTTCTCAAAAAGATTGAACACTTAGGAATCCGAGGCAACTTAATAGCTTGGGTTTCTTAACCTCCAGACAATTTAGCGTAAGAGTTGGTAATAGTTTCTCTCAAACCAAATCCGTTGTCAGTGGAGTGCCTCAAGGATCAGTCCTTGGTCCCCTACTTTTTCTATTATATACTGCCGATATTTCTGTGCACATAAAAAGCTGTTGCTCCTTCTATGTAGACGATACAAAAATCTACGCCAATCCAATTGCGGACCATCAGTCTCTTCAATCTGATCTAAGTGCGGTATCAAAGTGGAGTTCAGACTGGTTATTACCGCTAAACGTTGATAAATGTGTTGTTCTTCATATCGGTAAAAACAATCCTAAATTAGTGTATAATATTAATAATAATGCCTTAAAGACAGTATCGTCCCAAAATGATCTCAGCGTTATCATTACTAAGAACTTATCGTGGTCAGAGCATATATTATCAGTATGCAAACAATCAAACTCTTAACTATTCTTATTAAAAAAGACTTTTGGCGATGTTTCTTCCTCAACGTTTTTGAAAATATACGCAACATAGGTTCGTCCTCGCCTGGAATACTGTGGTCCTGTTTGGTGTCC